ACTGATAATGAGATTACTAAGGATATGCGCACTCCTGGATAAGAACCCTTTAATAGCTCCCCATTACCCACAGAATCAGTTGCCTTACAATGTCACTAGGTATGCAAAAGTTTTTCCATAATTAAAAACAAGCTGAAAAAAAAAACACTGGATGAAACAAAGTTAAACAGGTTCTTTACCCCAGAACAGCTCAAAGTCAGACTGATCAAGTTCAAATCTTAGCTCTACTACTTATTAGCTGTGTGAGCTTGGACACATTTCTTAACATCTCTATAAAATAGGATTAACACAATAGTATCTAGTTCATAGGGTTGTGATGGGGGTCAAATATGGGGATGCATACTTAAAGCCCAGAACATTGCTTGCTGCCTTGAAGATACTCACAGGTAGTTACTATTCATTTTAGCAGAGCCTTTACAATACTAACATATGTTGGAGGAGGTCCCCAACTGTGGGGACACAGAATCCCAGCCTCCTCTGGAGCAGAGAATTCCATGGGTCTGGTGTTCAGAGAACACATTTTGGAACACTCCGGCCTCCAAGATGAAGTCCCTGCTCCTTAGGAACGCGTTTGAGGTCTTTGGGGGTCTGAATTTGCTAACTTCTCAAACATACCATCATACCTCGAGCTTCGACAACACTGAATGACTTTGAGTTCCTTGAGCCCTGCACTCTTTCTCAGGTCTCCATACCTGTGTCCAGGCTGTTTCCTCTGCCTGGAATGTCCTTCTCCCTGTCTTAAAGCCACAGGTCAAATGCCCCTTCTTCCCAGAATCCTTCCCTGACTACCCCAGATACAACACCCCTTCCCTTTCCCCTCCCACTGACTCAGGCCCTTCCGCCATCACCAACAGGGATTAACCCCAGTTTCCTTGTAAGTGGCACTAATAAAGAAATAAAAACCTACAAGTATAAGATTAAGCCTCTGTTTGTTACTATGTCATTTGAAAATTCCTTGATGAATCGTCCTCAAAAGTTGGGGGGTATATTGGGGAACCTGGGGAGCACCCCAAGGAAGAAGGAATTGTCCTCCAGAGCTGCTGAAATTGATGGGCAGTAGGAAGCCCGGGAGATGCTTCTTGGGAGGCTTGAGACACACAGGTGAAGATGCTTTGGGCAGAGAAGAGAAATAGTGTTGTCAAAAACCAGCCCCAAACCATAGCTCCTAAGTGCAGCCATCCTACTCTGCAGGAGTGAGTTTGCAGTTGTTTCTCACCACAGCCATTCTGCAGGTTGTGCCAGGGTGGAGAGCAGCAAGGTCAATTTATTTCCTAATGAGTAATGATTCCCTAGGGTCAGCAGAGGGGCCAGCTTAGCCCGGGGAGGTGGGTGTAAGAAGGCTTCCCAGAGAAGGGGTCATTTTGTCAAGGACCTGAATAAATCAGGAGTTAACCCAGTAAAGGGGGTGCTGGTCAACAGGGATGCTAGAAGAGAGCCTGTTCCAAAAGAGGGGCCCAGGCTGGAGGTGTCAAGAGCTGGTTTTGGGAACCCACAACAAATCAGTGGGCTGGAGTGGCCAGTGGGCCTGGGGCCTTGCCCTTTACTCCGTGTATCAAAATGAATTTAGGTTGAGCTTTCTGAGCTCCCAGCTGGGTTTATGGTGATGACAGCTCTGGGTTTGTTGGCTGCTTTCCAGAGACATACCAGAGGCGCCTTAATATCCTCCCTGATGCGTCTCCTGAACTCACATAGGCTGGTCCCTTCCAGGAAGGATTTCTGTGGACAACTACCCAGCTGGTGTGGATTCCTTTGAGCATTAGTCACCGAGGGGCTGTTCTGACCTCCACCGAGGCTGGTCCTCTTCTATGTTTGCCTCAGAGGATGGGATAAAGTGACTCTCATGTGGCAGGCTCTCTCATGTCACCTCCCTTCTTCCCTTTACAGCCCCTCCTGTCTAGATTTTTCCTCTATAGAAATTGTCCTGAGCACCCACTTAGCTGCTGTTTGTTGAGCATCTACTATGTGCCAGACTCTGTCAAAGAGCCATGTACCAGAGGGAGCCAGTGAGTGATTCAGCCCCTTCATAAGCACTCACTGAATCAGTTTAAGTGTCCAGGATACAGAGCAAAGGCACAAGTTCCAGGCCTGTGCAGTCCAATACAGTAGTACTAGTCACACTATTTAAATTGAAATGAATGGAAATGAAATAGTTTAAAATGCAGCTCTTTTGTTGCACTAGCCACATTTCAAGATAGCCTTAAGTGGCTAAGTGGCCACCATATCGAACAGTGCAGTTACAGAACATTTCCATGATAACAGAACATTCTGTTGAACTTTCTAGAGCCACAATTAGCTGGATTCAAATCTCAGATCCTTCTCTTGGAAGCTGTGTGAATTTGCCCAAATTAGTGAACCTCTCTGACCCTCTTTTCTGTATCTATAAAAGCCCATGTTCTTTAGATTGCCTCACACTTCCACTCATTTGAATATAATAGTTGGAGCAAAGCATGAAGTTAAAACCCCCAGGAACTTCAAATTATGTTTCCAAATTAGTTAGGACTCTTGTCATAGCAAATAACAGAAAATTAAATCAAGCTAGCTTAGGTAAACAGGGACTTTATAAGCAAGGCTGACTATATAATTTGTGTGGCTCAGTGCAAAATGAACATATGGGGCTTTTTGTTCAAAAAACAGGAGAAAAAGTGCATTAAAGATACCAAAATATGAACTTTCTTTTCTTTCTTCCAGTCTTTTTCTCAGCTTATGGTATTTTTTTTAATTTGCTATCATTCTTAAGTAAATAAAAATTAAAAATTTAAATTACCAGTGTGAATTTTCTCATTCATCTTTATATATGCAATGCCAGTTTTAAATGCAAATGTAAAAAAAAAGCATTTGACTTGTATGCAGTCACCAAAATTACACAATTTCTGTTCAGTAGCTCCTGCATAAATATATTTTGTTCTTAACCAAACAGTGGAAACACTGTCCAAAACTAATTCAACTGTCTTTATTTCACTTCTTGATACATGTACATCCTACCGGTACATTCTCTTTGGCTTACTGGTGAGTAAGAAAGACCTGAAAAGATGAGGAACTATGGATAGCCCTGTCTTTCCTTTTTCTTTGATATCATTTTCAGTATAATTGGGTGGCTAATATAGGGAAGTTACTCCAGTAAGAAAGGATAAAATAAGATTCCTTCATCATTTGTGTTTCTTAAAATGCCTTCTTTCTGTGTTCAAAGCAAGTTCTAGTTTGAGGGAAGTGTGGTTTCTTGTGGCTGTCAGCACCCCTGCTTACTCATTGCAGACATAATATGTTTCCCTTGTACTTGCTTTGAGTCTTGCTGAATTCCCAGGCATCTCCAGTTTACCTGAATTCTGAGCTCATGGGGCACCATGTACACTATATACAAATAGAGTGGCAAGGAACAGTGGTAGACATTCATATTGCATGCATCTTCTCTGCTCACATGCATGCTCCATTGTCCTGTCAGACTTTACTTATAAAACACAAGTTCAAAGAAAAAATTAATAAGAATTTAGAGATGGTGACAGCATAACATTAAACCAAGCATGGGATCCTTCTGATGCCCATAAAATTGGATGGTGATGCTTTCAGAGAACTCAAGGGCCAGAGCAGAACTGAGCTGCAAAGACAATCTGAACTAGATGCTTGTTATTAACACAATTCTCTTTCACCAGTGCTCCTTTTGGCATGCTTTATCCATTCATTCCTTCTTCATTCAATACATGTTCATTAAGAGGTGGTGTAAGGTCACAGTTCAGAGCACAGACTCTGGAACCAGATGACTTGTGTTTGAATCCTGGCTCCTAGACTAACTGTCTGTGTGACTTTAGGCAAGTTACCTGGTGTCTCAGTTTTCTCATATGAAATATGGGGATAATAATGTTCTGTCTTATAGGGCTGCTATGTGGACTAAATGAATTACATGTGTGAAGCACTTGGGACAGTTGTAAGCACTGTATACATGTTCCTATTATTACCATTGTTATTACCTTCCAGGCATACGAAAATTCTAGGGATATAGTAATAAGCAGAAATAGACAACAATCTCTCTTCTCATAGAGCTTACATTTTGGTGGTGATGTCTGTGCTACATTAATTCTTTCTCTAATGGAGAAGTGGAGCATATCCACTACTGCTGTGGTCCATGTGGAGGAAACAAGGCTACCACAGCTCTGTTTCACTCCAAGTCCAAAATTCCCAGGAAAGGTTGTGATTGGCCCAGCTTGGACCAATCATCTGTGGCCAGTAGGGGCAGGGGGTGGGGTCACATTGTTTCAAAACGCTGTGTGTGGTAGCAGTTAGGAAAGTGGATACACTGGGCAGACACAGCAAAATATCTAGCACATTGTCCTAGTCACTCAACTCTTGGCAAGGTGTGCTTATACCTTGGCTTTTTTTTTTCTTTTCTTTTTTTGTTTTTTTAAAGATTTTTACTGGGGAATTGGGGGAAGGGGAACAGACAAGTTGCTGTCCTTTTGTTCTTCAGTCTAGTTGTGGAGGATGTTGCTTCACTGGCCCAAGTTGGCACCGTCATTGTGCTCTTCCCAGGCGAGGCAGATCAGCTGCCGGCTTCTGGACCACTGCTCACAGCGTTGGCTTTTTTTTTCTTACTTGTGTAAAATACCTAACATCTTATCTCCTGTAAGGCTGCTCCAGAACTTAGGATCAGTTGCTCAAGGTTCTTTTCTTGCGTTGCCTTCTCTGATGTCTGCTTCTCCCCCTTTATGGCAGCAGGCACCTGAGGCCTCACCCACAGTGGGCAGGGAACAGATTGTAGGTCACCATCTGATCCAGGTGATTACTCATTCCTAAGCCCACTGCTTCTCGCTTGTTTGGGCCCACGCAGCCACCAAGTCAGGGAATGAGGGTTCAAAACCCAGGCATAAAACCCACAGAGATCCCTAGGGACATTCTGATCCACTCTCTGAGGCTGGTAGAAGGAAAGGAGCCTGGACAAGGCCAACTGGAAACCAGGTGCCAAGTTAGGAAGAGAACTGGGGCCTTCCATTCCTACTCAGTTCTCCCTAAACCCAGAAACATTTCTCAAAAAAATCATGCTGTCACTGACTGTTATTTTGCAAATCTCCTTTATGGTATGGAATTTGCCTCCACCTCCTAACCTGCATGGCTGTAACTGTGAGGACCCTCTTCTGGAGCAGCTCCTACCCCTTCCCCCACCTCCACTTCCTGCACAACTCGTGTCCAGGCTCATCCCATCTACCTTCTCTGGCTGCCTGATGCTCATATCCTTTGGGAAGGTGCTGAAGCCAGCGATTACTGAATGGTGGATGTAGGACAGGAGGTACAGGACAGCTATCTGCAGAGCCACAGTGACCAGTGACTGGGGAAAGACTGATCTTGGGCAGCTGGAACCACAGATGTTAGGGAATCGGATTAAGGAATTGAATAGGGAATGGACTCAGCCTTGGTTTCTGGAAAAAGTCAAGATGAGTGTTGGCTAACACACTGGAGGCTCTGGGCAGAGGGTGAATGAAATTGGAGAAGGGCAAAGAGTTAAGTTCTTATTTTGACACTGTGGGATGCTCTCGGGGAAGTCATTTGACCTCCCTGAGCCTTAGCTTTCTCAGTTCAAAGGTGACTCCTTGCTTCATGAGGTCACAGTGAGGCTGTGAAAGAGGTAAGCACCATGGCGGAGAGCATGGGTTTTGGTGTCAGACAGACCTGAGTTGAAATCCCTGACCAGCATTAACTAGCCATGAAATTTTTAGGCACGTTGCCTCATTACGCTGAATCTCTATTTCCTTGTCTATGAAATGAGGATGTTAATTATACCTAACTCACAGGGCTTGAGGAAGTTTAAATAGAATCTTAGATGAAAAAGAATTAATACAGAGCTTGGCATGTGCAAACTGCTCAACAAAGGGTTGCAAGTTATAGAGACCCCAACTGAGAAAGCTTAAACAAAAAAGCAATTTATTCAAAAGCTCTTCAATCTTTCCTCCTTCTCACCACAGCACTATTTCTAATGCCTAACTCCTCAGCATTTTGGAATCTGACAACCATAAATGTTAAAGATGTAATGGGCTACCTCTGGAGATAGTAAACTCCTTGTTTCCAGACAAAAACAAGCAAAATCTAGACAACGTCTTGGCGGCACGTAGCAGAAGGGATTCAAGCAACTGATGGGATGGGGTGAGGGGAGGAGGGCACTGGGCTATAGGCCCCCTGTAATCTTTTCTAGATCACCTCTCTCACAGTGCCCACCCACCCCCAGGTGTAGGGATGGGGTGGTGACCACTGAAAACTGTCATCTAGGCAATGCTAAGGAAAATCCTGCTAAGAACTGGTCACCAGGAAAGCCCATGAGAAACAGGTCTTTCCACATCATCATGAGTGCCTGTGTTTGAATGATTTCCTCTTCATAGATCTGGGAGCTGGTCCTACAAGAAGTAATGGTGCAGACGGCTGACATAAGGGTCCAGGAGTGACAGGAACCTAGGTGTGAATCCTGCTTCACCACCCTACCTACCAGCTATGACATTGGGTAAGTCACTTAACCTCTCAGGAACCCAGTTTCCTCATCAGGAACTAGTGGGGCTAATAACAGTTCCTTGTTCAGAGGGCAATATGAACATTAAATAGCATTACATGTGAAAAACACATTCTGTGTTTTCTTAGATTCTGTATTTGTCCATTTGGCATCCATTCATCACAGGGCCAATTACATTAATTATGTTTTCTTGATGCTCTGGCATCCGGGGCTTTACAGACCTGGGAATAGACTGCTCCTTCTAGGGCTAACTAATTCCAAAAGGTAGTAACAACCTATTCCTGGGTATATCTTTCATATGCAAACCGGTCAATCTTGAGTCTATACCCCTTTAACCACTTTCTTATCTAACTCACACACCCCACCCACCAAGCCAATATTCCCCCTGCCCTAAATATCCTAGAGTCAAATACAGGCAACTAGAGACCACCCCTATAGCCCAAAGCCACTAGAATTAACCTGCCCTGCCTTGTCTTTCCAGCAGAAACCCAGTGAAGGCTCAGGCCTAAACTTTCCCTCACTCCTGGCCAACACTGGTGCTCTCCTCTGTGGCGCTGCCTTGGGGCATGCAGTGACCCACTCTCTGGGATCTGTAAGCATAATAGATTTCTTTCTTTCAAGTCTTATCCTGGTTCCCTCCTGTGGCAACACTGACTTAACCATACCACGTCCAACATGTACATTCTAAGAGCAGAACAGCTTAGCAGTTTCTGGCTTATAGTAAACGTTCAATAATTGTTACCTATTACTGTTATTACTATTGCTATTATTGTAGACTAGCTCTCTATTAATTATGTGACTGTAAACAAGTCCCTGTCTTTTCTGGGCCTCAGTTTCCTCAGGCTACAAATGGGGATTCATGATAACCCCAGCCTCAATGGGATGGTCTTGAAGATCAAATATGTAAAATGTATATATGAGTTTATTTTCTCTTTTTTTCCTCTGTCTCCTTCTAGAAGCTTCAAAGACAGAAAGGTTACCTTGAGTCATAGGGTGGTCAGAGGAGACTTAGCTAAAGGGGTTGAGCTGGCTCAGACTGTGACAAACTCTGAACTCCAAGGCCAGTTCTCAGGCTCTGGTCATAGTTAACAATCAACTATTTTTCGTCAGCTGAATATTGTTTCTTCCACGACCAACAGTGCAAAAGGGCTGTGAGCCAGAAGTGACAAGGCCCTGAGCTTGGGGCTCTGCCCCAGGGAGCTGGCTCAGGCCCAGGTTTTGGAGAATGGGCATATAGAGGAACTCAGACCAAGGGAACAGCATGTGCATAGGTGTGAACACTTACAGACATGACACACTCAATTAGGCCACCTTCTCCATGATTGATCCATTAGTAAGTTGTTCTCAGAAGTATTTAGTGAGCACTGTGGGGGAGTTGGTCTTTGCCTTCACAGAGCTGAGCATTGAGCTGCAGACATAAAATGTACCAACCCACTTATAAACCTAGAAATGAGCTACACTCCAGAATTCCACTTGTAAATTAGTGCTTGGTTTTCACAACAATTTGTTTTTTGGAGGATAAAAAAGTTATACACTGTACTGTATTTTATATTCCTGGCCCAATCCATGGAAAAATATTTAATCTATTATATATAATTATATATAGTGACATATATTTATAATAAAAAATTGTAGGAAAAAATATACAGCTCCAAAAAATAAGCCACCTTGTTTCTGACACATAGTAGATACTACATAAATGTTTGTATACAAATATTTGTTGCCTTCATCAAGACTTGGTCACTTGCTTCTGATAGGCCCTGGTGAGACTTGTAATTGATTTTGGATGAGTTACTAAGTTCATATGTTCAAGAACTAAATTTTAGGTAGGAAATACAATTTTAAGAATTAAAAAAATGAAAATAAAACAAAGAAACTACATAAAGTAAAAAGGAGGAACAAACTGGGAAAAATTGCTTGCAACTCATATCACAAAGGATTAATCCCCTTAATATATTTTAAAAACTTCTACAAATAGAGGAGAAAAAGACCATTAATTCTAATAAAAAAAGATGGGGAAAAGACAAGAATGAGCAGTTCACAGTTAAATACAAGTGGCCCTTAAACATATGAAAAGATAGTCAACTTCATTCAAAATAAGAGAAATATAGATTAAAACTACACTAGGCTACAGTTTTTTGCTTAACAGACTGGCAAAAATCCAATACTTTCTGTCGGTAACTTTGTGGCAAAACAAAACGTTCTCATCCATTGCAGATGAGAAAGCAAAAACTCTATGAGCAGCAAACATCATCTATGAAATTTCCAAATTCATTTATCCTTCGATCCTACATCCCATTTCTAGGAATTCATCCTCTGACTTGCATAAATGTGAAATGACATAAGCATAAGGTTATTAACTGCAGTAATTGCAAATAGGAATAGAAAAGATGGACATAACCTACCACCATTAAGAGAGACTTAGTTAAATAGTCTATGATATATGCACACAATGAAGTGTTAGGAATGTATAGAAAATAATGAACTTGTGCTTACATGGAAAGATGTCTAGCGTGTATTAAGTAATAACACTAAGGGACAAAATAATAGTTGTGTAAGAAGGGAGAAAACAAAAATAAATATTTGTGTTACCTATCAATACTCACAAAAGAGACAGTGGAAGGATACATAAGTCATGTAGAGAAATGTTTATACAGTAAAACCTTGGATTGCGAGTAACGTGGTTTGCAAGTGTTCCACAAGACAAGCAAACATTTCTAACACATTTTAACGTGGTAAATGAGCGATGTTTTGCAATACAAGTAGTTTGTTTCTGGAACGAATTTTGCTTGCAAACCAAGGTATTACTGTATATTAGACTAGAGCACTGGTTCTCAAACTTCAGCATGAATCAGAATCACCTGGAGAGCTTGTTAAACACAGATAACTGGCTCCCAGTCCTAGATTCTGATTTAGTAAGTCTGTGATGGAGCCAGAAACTGTGCATTTCTAATAAGTTCCCAGGTTGCTAGTCAGGGGATCATATTTTGAAACCTACAGGGCCAGATAATGGGATACAGAGGGTCAGAGGCTGGAGCAAATCTTCCCAGGATATGTCTTTTTTTTTTTATCACTTTGATTTTTTTAAAAAACATGTGCACATATTACCTACTCAAAAATAAATCTTAATTTAAAAAGAAATAAGTGTTCAGTTAAATAACCTGCTCCCCAATCACTCTCAGTCACCTTAGCCTGTTTTATTTTCTTTTATGACAATTATTATTATATCTGAAATGATTTTATTTATTTTGTTTATTTGATTTTCTTTCTCCCCCTGCTAGATTAGGGTAAGGACATTGCTTTTCTATTGACCGTTATATTTCCAACACTAATATTGTGTCTGGCACATAGTAGGCACTCAAGAAATAGCTCTTCAATGAATAAAGTACCTGCTGAATTCTCATAGTATACACTAGATCAGTGGTTCTTAGTCAGTCACCTGGGGAGCTTTTAAAACTAACCAATGCCCCCATCAAATCCCCAGGTTTGATGTAATTGTTTTGGGGGGTGGGGTGGGACCCAGCATTGGGTTGATGACAGCTGCTGGTCTAAGCCACAGTGATGTAGAGATTTATGATTAGGATTATTAACATAAAGTGTATATAGATCTTGCTGCATTTTGGTACACTGCTGTTGGGACTGGTTCTGAGACCCTTTTTGGTCTGGAGATGCTGATGTCCTCTCTCTTCTTTCTCTTTAGGCTGCCAATTTCAGATCTGAAAACCTTACTGAAAAGATACCCTAATGCCCAAGGCCCTGTTTAAAGCAAGGACTGAATCAGGCATTGAATGATGGGACACAGTAAACTTTAATGGTCTTCATCTATGTTTCCCCCATTGTGGAGCAGGGCAGGGTAAAATGCTTGAATGCTGGGCCCATCTCCTTAGCATTTTAGTTCTGCAGTGAAGGGGGCTGTGAGCTCAGGTGATACCGTGTTGCAATCTTGCCATGCCATCAGAGTGAACAGAGGTTGGGCTTGGGAGTCACAGAGACATGACATCCAACCCCACTGGCCACTTACCAGTTCTGTGACCTTACGCATCTCTGGGCCTCAGTTTCCTCATCTGTAGAATGGGGATGCTAACACCTATCTCTTGGGATTGCTGGGAGAACCAAATGCTATAATGTGCATGACACATAGCACCCATTGACTGATAGTTATTTCTTGGCTTTTCAGTTTAGTTATTGCATCAGTTGTTTTCATACTCATCCCCATTGGTTTATTAACTAATAGTTGTAAAATATTACAACAAGTCACAGATTGGGAGCCTGCACCCTTGTTTTGATTGGCTTTCAAAGTGTTTTACAAGAATCTGACTCAATTGCCAACATTGAAAAACTAGAGATCTTACATAAAAGCCTGGATTTGGGGCTTCATTGAAAACACATGTGTGACCACAATTGCTGAACATAAGTGTTGGCTTCTCACTCGGCTCACAGTCCACATGACTCTCTACCACCTTCCACCTCATCGCCCCTCATTTCGCTGGGTTCCCTGAACAGCTGGCCACTAAAGGCTTTGAGTCACACGTTTGAACCCCCAGTTTATAAAATGCTTTTACTTCTTTCATCTCACTTGAACCTTACTCACGAGGGAGATGTTACCATTAACCCCTGTTTTACAGGGGAAGAAACTGAAGCTGAAACATGTGACTTACTCAGGGCTGTTAATATCAGCAGCAACAATAGATAGCTAACATTTATTGGGATTCAACATGCGCCAGGTATTATTCAAAGCACTTTACATGTCTGAGTTAATGTAATCCTCACAATAATTTTATTAGATATTTTCACTATTCCTATTTTACAGATGAGGAAATTGAGGCTGAGAGAGGTCAAGTGACTTTCCCAAGGTCACACAGCTAGAACGCTGAAAATAAACCCAAGCCTTCTGAGTCCTAATCTGCACTTATTCTCCTGTGCAGCAGTGCAGCCTTTCCTTCTTTCTTCCTTTTCTTTCTTAAAAAATAGGCAAATCTATGGCCCCCTGGCTTCTGGTAAGATTTTTTAAAGTTTTTTGGTGGGGAGGTGAGTGGGGCTACATTTTGTAATATTTGTTCCCTGCTGTATCCCAACACCTAGCACAATGCTAGGCATGTAGCATAAGCAATATTGAAAGAATATAGCAATAAAAGCATTATCCATTATCATCAGCTTTCAGTATTCTCAGTGTCTGCAAATAAGGTAATTGGTTAATTAATTAGCATAAAGATTAATTAATTAGCATAGCCTACTATGTGGGCATTTGATGATACCTTGTTCTTGAGTAGTTCAAGTCCAGGTGAGAAATATTGACAAAATTTAAATACAGGATGTATGTAAACATAAGTCGCTTGCCAAGAACTTTACTTTTCCCCTTAGAAATGATCAATGACCCACTTGTGATATTTTCTCCAATTTACTTGGCTTGTTTCTAATTTTTTGCTGTTATATGTAATGCTGGAATAAGTACCTTCTGAATAATGTCTTTGTATGCCTGATTATGACCTTCAGATAAAAGTATACACAATATTTAGGCCTTTGGTGCTCGCTGCTGGGCCCTTGTTACAACCAGCCTCCCTCCCTCCCACCTCCCAGACAGTATGCCTAAGCCTGAGTGGATTGCTGCACAGACCACACCCCTCAAAACCAGAAAGCACAGTGATGTGATGTCCAGGTGTCCCTGCAGCTCCTAAGTGTGAGCACCACAAGAGACCTGTAATAGAAGGTGATTGGGCCTCACACCTACTCACCTGTCCTGGGGTCCTGGGGTGGGGCTCTCCCCAGGAGGCCAAGTTGAACTTCTGTGCCACGTAGCAACAGGGTCTTTGCCAAAGAAAATTTGGTTAAGCAAAAATATGCTCAAACTATTAATATCTCAAACAAAAGGGGGTTGCTTTATAAGAAGGAATATGGAGCCTCAGAGAACCTGAAGACAAAGACACTTGGACTTCACAAGGGTCTAGAACCAAGAACCAAAAAGACAGGAGTTCAGATTACATTTTTTTTTAAAAGATTTTATTGGGGAATTGGGGGAGGGGAACAGTGTTGGGGAATTGGGGAAGGAGACCAGCCAAGTTGTTGTCCTTCAGTCTTCATTGTGGTGGGCACCAGTCGCCATCTGGTTTCCCAGCAGCAGCTCGTGGCCTCTAAGCTCAAGGTGCCGAATCAGTCTTAGTTGGGCGTAACCACCATCCCATGCAGGATGAACCCGGCAGCCTTGTTGTTAAGAGCCCACGCTCTATCCACTGAGCCATCCGGGTGGCAGCTTAGCTCAGGGTGCAGAGTTCAATCTCACCATGGAACAGGCAATCTTGTCGTTACACCAGCTGAGCCATCCTGCCACCTGTTGGCAGCTCAGAGACAGTTCAGCTCAGGCACAGCGTCCTGCCCAACCTGAAGACCTGGAGGTGGGTGGGGCGGGGCAAGGCAATTGGGTGATGGGTTTGTAGGTTTCAGCCTCCCGGGTCACAGAGCAAGGCAGAGAAGGATGGAGAGTGGATGCAGTTGGAAAACAACCAGCTCAGATGGTATGACAGCTTGGTTTTAGGACATGATGAGCATTTAACCCCTGACTTTGTTATCTCACTCCTGGCGATGTAGTTTGAGGCTATAACACAAATTAAAATTTTTATTTGTACTAACTTTTGGGAGGCAGTATGGCTTAACGACAAAAAATGGGTTTTGAAGTTGGGCAGATTAAATTACGATCCAGGCTCCCCTGCTTCCTGGCTTAATGGGTTTGGGACATGTTGATTTACCTCTCAGGGCTCCATTTTCTTAATCTGTAATACCCTTCTCCCCCCCCATCAAACACTCTTTTGCTTCAAAGAATTATTGATTGAGAGACTTCAATAAAACTATATAAAGTGTCTGAGCATGGGCCATCGTAGGCACACCACAAATGGTGGTTATTATTGCTATTATTTTCCATTGCAACATTATCTGTAACAAAAAAATTGAAAATAGCCTAGATAGCTAACAGTAGAGGAGTGATTGAGTAAGGCATGCTTGCAGTTCCACTCTATGAAATACAACCATGAATATAATAGTGAAGACAATTAGGTCACATGGGACAATGTCTCTATTGTAAAGTTGAGTGAAAATGGAGAATTGCAAATACTAGTTTTACAATATGTACTCATAAGTGTAATGAATGGAAGAGAATGTAAAGAAATAGAGATAATCAATGTGCCTGGTGAGGATCATGGGTTTTTGTTTCTTCTGAAAAAAATTGTAGGAGGTTTTAAGTGTTTATGTAAACATAATATTCAAAATCACAAAATTATTTGATCTAAACAAAACTGATTTCTTCCTGTGAGTGACTCTCTTTGTTTCCTGAGGCTGCTGTAATAAATTACCACAAACTCAGTGGCTTAAAACAACAGGAATTTATTCTCTCATAGTTCTGGAGGCTAGAAGTACAAAATCAAGGTGTCAGCAGGGCCACGCTCCCTCCAGAGGCTCTGGGGGAGAACCCATTTCATGTCCCTCTCTGAGCTTCTGGTGATCTCAGCGCTCTTGGGCGTTCCTTGGTGTGTGGCCGCATCACTCCAGCCTCTGCGTCCGTCTTCACGTGGCTTTGTCCTCTGTGTCTGTGTGGTCGCCCTCTGACCCACTCTTATGAGGACCCTTTTACCAAATAAGGTTACATTTACAGATTCCAGGGATTAGGATGCGGATGTATCTTTGGGGCGGGGAGGGGGCATCATTCAACCTATTACAATCCATTTAAGAGAATTCAGAAGCGGGGGATAGGTAGACCAAGATGGAACATCAGAACAGATGATAGTTATTGGGGAAAGAACTAAGAGAGGAAACAGAAGACAACTTTAACACAACGATAGCAAATAGAACCATTTGTTGAATGAATGGAATGAATTGAAAGGAGCTGAGTATGAGCTATAGTAGAAGCGTGGAGTCCTAGACATATCTCCCAGCCCCAATAATAGAACCATGGACTCATTAAATGTCTGTTCTCTGCTCTTCACTATACTGAACTCACCTCTTCACTTCTTACCCCAGTGTTGCTTCTAGCTTGTGTCCTATTTAATAAAGGTCTCGAATAGTATGAAAATGAATGTAAAAATCAGGGATGTGTGTATACTGAGAGATTGAATATATAAACAGACAATGGCTAGATCATGTATGACAATTGATTCTGACCCACAACCTCTGCAGTAATCAGCCCCAAACAGTCAGGACTTGGTCAGTGATGGTCAGCTTTCCTGTTTTTTGCCTTTACTTCTAACTCAGGACTAGTCAGAGAAAGCCAGATATGTTCCCCAAACCAATGCATAAAGATGCCCGCTTCTAGTCAGCTGTTTCCAGCTTCTCTTTGCCAACAACCTCCAATCACAGCAGCCCTTGAACCCTCCCCCCCCTTTTTTTTTTACTATAAAGCTTTCCTGCTCCCTTGCCTGACTTTGAGTCTCTGCCAAATGCAGCTGATGGTGGTTGACTCCCTTGCTATAGCAAGCTCTACATCAGTAGCCTCTGTTTGTTCTCATTTGGGTGGTCTTTGTTTATTTCCACAATGCAGTCTCTTCATTTTGCTCAGTTGGTTATGACCATTGCCTATGAAGTTGAACCATTAGAGCCAGTACAGTGCCTGGCACATAGTAGATGCTAAATAAATTATTGTCACGTGAATGAATAGCCCTCTATATTAAGGCAAAGAGTGTTGCTGCAGCTCCAAGTTCTTAGATTAAGTTCAGGGGAGTAAGTCCAGAAAACTTACTTTTAGGGAAATTCTAATGAATTCATGGTTTTTTTTAATTCTTTGGAACATGGAGTTTTCTAGTTAATTGAACTTTTTGGTTGAGTCAATCAGAGGTTCTGAATGCTCTCAGATATGCCCCTCAATGAATAGACCTTACTGTTTCCTAAAGGTGCAGATGGCATGTTATAATTTCACAAATATTGTCACGAAAACTTTTTAGTACCACACAAAATGGGCAGAAGATGGATGGTGTTGGCTATGAGGCTGCAGCCACCCTAGCAGCTATTGTTGAACTATTGGGTTGTTGGAAAAATCATGACGCACTTTTGCAAAAAAAATCATAAAAAATACATCATGACTTTTCCAACAACCCAATAAATGCCCAACAGGAGCTCATTGTCTTATTATTTATTGCTCATAAAATTG